CCCTTTTCTCATTCATTAATCTTCCAGAATTGTATTTACCATCCAGAGGCTGTAGATTGTTTTATTCCCTTTCAGATGAAATATCAGCAGAAATAGTCACGTGATCCTAATGACATCAGAAGATAAGGGCTATCTGTGATACTGACGTGTGTGAAGGAAGAGACAGAATATGCATATGTCTCAAATCTGTACAGATTTTATAATTTAAAATTTACTTTTTATATGTCAACTCTCATCAAAAGAATTTGGAGCAAACTGAACGTTAGCCTTGGATCCATAGCTCCCTAACATGACTTACAACTTGATGTCATTGTCTCAAATATTCATGAGGAGCAGAGCATAGTACAAGAAAAGATACAGAGAGGATCCCTGACTGCTCTGGCTGACAGTGCCTTTTGACTGGAACGAAGCAGGGATTAAGAGAAGCTGTGCTTGAATGAGGAAGTGAATGAAGAGCCTGAGAATCTTAGAAAAGCTCTGCTAACATTAAGTGGGCCCTGGGCTGCATAGAGTGAGGCTCTGTATACTCAGTGTAAGCGCTTTCCACAGGGCAACTGACCGCACCTTCTGTCCTGGTTATGGAACTTCTCACTTCAAGGGCTTTGGAGGAACACCCCATTAGTTTATTCCACTGAGCAGGCGGTTTAAGCTTCACTATTCTGACCCATCAGCTTAGGCCTGAGAGGGATTGTGAGCCAGCTGCCCTCTGTTAGCTAAGGTGGAAGCTCACAGCTCCTTCATCTTTGAACTTTTTCATTTTCAGGCAAGCTGAGTTTTCGATGGCTAATTTCAATAGTAGAAAATCTCTAATTTTAAACATGCTAGCGACCTCAGGTAGCCATAGGCTTCAAAGTGAGCCAGCCCTTCTTCGCTCATCCTCCATCTCTCTCCTTTGCTCTTTGCTTGCACACATACGTAGTTTATGACTTACTCTAAGGACAAAGAGATTTCTATGATTAAGTTCCTATTGGGAAAGAACACCAGGACAGGATATTAGAATAAGTTAGGTGGCGATTAACCTTCAAATTTAACAAGAACTTGAAATGCAGAGTGGCTTGTTTTCCACCATTTGAAAAGCTTTTCTATAAAAAATGGCTTCTAATACAATTTATGAGAGAGCTACAATTCTGGATGCTCATCCCTTCACCCTTAAGTCTATTAGCAATATTTTATAGATGTGTATTAAGGGGCTACAATTTTCCAGTCACTAGTGTTAGTACTGGAAATAGATCAGGGACCAAAACGACAAAGATATTTGCCTTTGATGATTTTATATTCTAATAATTCATAGTGAGGAAGACAGACAATATATAATGCAAATGAATAAATATAGTGCATCGGAGTATGCTAAGTCCATAAAAAATATTGAATGATGAAATTGTTACCGACTTGGGAAGGTGCACTGTTGTCTATCTGTCATCTATATAATTTTTATAGATTCAAATTATTTGGTTTTATTTAGCATGGTAAATATTTTTTGTCCTAATTTTAACTGAATATATACAGTTATCAACAAGAGTTGGGCACTCTCAAGAAAAAGATTCTGTTTGTACATTAAAGTATATGAAGGGCATTTAAACAATTACATTTTTTGAAGTTGACTATAATCTAAAATCCATAACTGTGGTGACACCAACACCTACTGCAGAAAAATGAAGTCTCTAGGTAAATCATGGTTTAGTTGTGGAGTAAACAGATTGTATTTCAATTTCCCTTTTAGTCACTGCAGGTACCAGTCAAAAAATTTAGAAATAATAGTTTAGAAATCACGTGCTCTAATCACCTAATTTTATAGATTAAGAGTTTGGAATTCTTCCCAAAGATTCAAATGTAATGGAGAAATCCTGGATTACAAGCCAGCTCTTACGTAATAACTGGTGGCCCAGAAATGTCTGTTGAGCTAAATAAAGCACAACCGTTCCACAGGTAAGTAGTCTAGTCATTTCTTTAGGGCCTTGTTTCCACTTATGCCTAAATATAATGGTCTTCATTTTTGGGTGTTCTTGCGTATTTGACAACCAAAATCAGTGACTCTGTTCAAATGTGTTTTATAAAATTGCTTCCTCTGTGGATTATGTATAATGCTGATAATAGTAGGTTTATCTTATATACGGGTTGAAACCTTGCCTGTTGAAAAGTCACAGCACTCACAATGGCCAAAAAAACACATTCAATTTTGTATTTCTTTTCTTTACACATTCTAACTTAAATCTAGTGATACAGGGACATAATTAATGGGACCAGTGACTTATAAAGTTGAATTATGCAATGCTTTTCTCTTTTCTCAAAAATCTTTCTGTCTTTATTTCAAATCCTCTGGAAAAACAGAATGGATTTTAACACTACTAGAAAGTTAGATCCATTAGGCTTCCTCAACTGAGGTCCTCTAGAGAATCTTCATAAGCAAATGGTTCTCAGAAGTTGACTGCTAACTCAAGAAGCTTAGAACAAGCGGATGACTACACAAAGTAGACAGCTTCTTCCCAATGCCATTGGAACATGAGACATCTTTGTGCCTCATTTCCCTTTGTAGACTCTTGTTTAGTCACATTTTTACTAATTTTAATGTTATAAACTCTAACTTAGCCTATCATGTTCTTCTTATTACTAATAACAAGTTTCCTAAGCATAGTCTTTACTCAAGATAATAACCAACTTAATTCACTCAATCCTCCAAAGATAATGTTTTCACAGCCAGTTTGGAAAATGATACAAAGGTATGTTACACTAACACTACTAATATAGTTCTCTTTGTAGGCAATACGTAAGTAAAAAAAATCATTAAATTAGAAAAAATATAATGTACCATAGTGGTTATTTGTCGAAATGATACCCAGAGATAATGCACGCACAGCTCCTGGGTTTTATTTCCTACAGGGGAGTCAGTCTCTTCATTGCCAACCCAGAACCAAAGTTAACTGTTCTGTAAGTCTATTGGTTAGGTCATTCCAAGGGCATGACTACCAAACATTCTGTATGGATAATATCTCCTTACAACGATTCTAAGGAGATGAAAACTTTCCTCAAAAAGACTCCTAAGGGTAGTGGCACCATTCGTGATCATTAGACAACTTGAGGTGGTCGTTGAAAATTCTTTCCTCACATTAGTTGACACAGTAAATAATGTAACCAAAGTCCTGAAGGCACAACAAACCAATGAAAATTCCTTTGCTCAAAGGGTTATATGTATTAGAATAGCCTTATATTTTGTGGGGGCCAATCAAGAGAAATATTCTGACATTGCAACTAGTTCATATTGACCCTACATTAATATTATATATGAGTAAAAACAATTTAATCAAAAGTCGTTAGATAGATAGATAGGTAGATATACAGCTCGATAGACAGAGAGAAACAATCTGGTATCTAATATAGACTTAGAAAATCATTTACTTGAATATTGGGACTCCACTGACTGAAGATTGAGACTATCCCTTTCATGAATGAGACCCAAGTACTGCCCATTTAGTAGGCACTTACTAGACACTCAGTAAATATATATTGGATATATGCATTAATGAATGAATAAATAAATAAGAAAAGAAAATACATCAGAAATTCAACTAACCTAAAAAATCCTCTTAGAGCACTGGAGTAGGATGGGATTAGATTGTAGATTGAGAAATGGAGACTCTTACCATTGTCTCCTATTGGACTAGGATGGTGTTTTTCTTTGACTGCATTTGAGATGACATCAAATACACACACAACAAAATTCTCTCTGTCCTTAGGAAAAAAGTGTGCTTTTTATTTCTTTTAACTTCTATTATTTAAAATGTAGAAATCTCTATTTTTAGGGCTGACTTTGGAATTTATCTTCAATTTCTGTCTCTATGTCCTTCTATGTTAACATTAAAAGCCAAATTGATTCTTCCTATGTTCATATTTCACCCATGAGGATAAAGTGTAAAGAAAATATTAAATTTTTGTCCAAGCTCAGAATGAGAGCTACCAAAAATGCTGCCTTGCTGGCTGGTCATGGCCCCATATCTTCTGAAGTCTGCAGAATTTTTCTATCCTCCCTTACCCATTTGGAGATCAAAGGTTCTCCAGAGCAGATAATTCCAGCACTCCTCCCCAGTTTCTTTTCCCCATGAATTTTGTTAGAAATATTTAATTTACCTAATTTATATGTTATAATTTATATGTTAAGAAAAATAAAAAGAAGTTGAAATTGGTTTAATTGTCTTCTATTATTTTTTAGCGTCATGTATAATATGAACACATCTGAAATATTATAACAAAATTTAAGTTCCCTGAGGGCAAAGGGACTGTATGTTCTCTATGTTCTGATCCATGACCTAGCTTGTAAAGGAATATTATGTCCTTTGTGTGTTGTAAATAGACTTTAATTAGTATTTGTAATAAAAAAGAAATGCTCTGATACATGCCAATCTTGTCAATTCATGGGAGTCCCTCTCTTCCCCATTGTAAAATAATGTAATCTCTAGTGACATATCAAGCTGTACTAGTGTATGATCTTTAATATTTTAGAAGGTGTGAGGGAAAGGAAGAGGGGGATTGAGGAAGAGAAATTCTAAACTGATACTTGTCCATTTGTGAGGGTGGGATTTCTGATTCCCAATGAAAGTATTTTCAGGAATTTTAAGTCAGGGCAAAATAGGGAAGTGCTTCCTTTGGCAGAAATAGCTTGAAGTGAAAGGACTTGTGAAAAGGCAGGGCCTGTTGAAAGAATTAAAGCAGGTGAGAACTTAAAGTCAACGTTCCAGCTGGCTGAGAAGATCAGAAAATACCTGAGTTGTCACTGAGATTTGGTGCCAGGAGGAAGGGACAAGATCCTGAGAGCATCAATTTTAATTCTGTGGCTTCAACTAGGCTGTGAGCTGTGGAAGAGAAATCCCAGGATGTGTTGTTAGTTTGGAGGAATGAGAAAATTGTTGTAAGGACAAACTCAGGTAGGTAGAATTAAGAAGGAAAAATAAATTTGGGGGCCTAATGACTTTTTGTTATCTTTTTAAGCAGGGGTGAGTGGCCAATAGCAAGAAAAAAGTGACCAGCAGCAGGTGAAACAGAGCCCTCAATCTCTGATCATCCAGGAAGGAGAGATTTCAATTCTGAACTGCACTTATGAGAACAGTGCATTTGACTACTTCCCATGGTACCGGCAATACCCCGGTGAAGGCCCTGCATTCCTGATAGCCATACATTCAATTGTGAGTACAAAGGAAGATGGAAGATGCACAGTTTCCTTCAATAAAAGTACCAAACAGTTCTCATTGACCATCACGGCTTCCCAGCCTGGAGACTCCGCCACCTACTTCTGTGCAGCAAGTGCACAGTGCTCTGCAGGCACCTGCAGCCTGTACCCAAACCTGCAGCTGAGGCTCCAGCCAAACCCTGCCGTGTAGATAAAATATTCACACACACACACACACACACACACACAATCTGTTTGGCAAAAAAAGTCTTAATACACTTATAAGAACTGACATTATAAAGAATTTATTCTATGGCCAAATGGAATTGATATGGAAAATAAATTGCAAAAACATGTCTCTAAAAACTCCCAAATATTTGGAATTTAAGCACTAAACTTTAAAATAATTCATAGGTAAAAGAAGCAATTACAATGGCTATTAGAAACTATTTTTAAAGAAAATATAATGAAAACACATACATATAGATATGTATGAGATGCAGCTAAAATAGGACATAGAAGGAAATTTATCATTTTAAATATCTATGCTACTGAAGAAGAAGGTTGAAAAACAATGATCTAGGCATTCAACAAAAGAAGATAGAAATGAAGAGCAAATTAAGTTCAATGTAAGCTAAAAGGAGAAATAATTAAAAAGTCAAATTGGTGAAATAGAAAACAAACAATTAAGATAATCAACAAAGTACAAAATTAATTTTCCTAAAACAATTAGTCAAATTGATGTAATTCTAAGTAGAATTATTAGTGAAAAAAAGAGAGAAAATATAAGTTATAAATATAATGAGTAGAAAAGAAAACCACACTGCAGATTCTGCAACATTCAAAGGATAGTAAAAGAATATCATTAACAATTTTATGCCATTGAGTCAGAGTATAGACCAGACTCACACAAGTGGAGATGACTGATTTTTTGACAAAAGTGCAAAGGTGATTCAATGGAGGAAAAACAGTCTTAGCAACAAATGGTGTTGAGACAATTGGATATTCACAGGGAAATAATCGAACCTTGACACAAATTTCACAAGTTACACAAAAATTTGAGGAGAGTCTCAAAATGGATCACAAACCCAAGTATAAATGTAAAACTATAAATCTTTTAGAAGGACATATGAGAGAAAATCTTCATGACCTAGAGTTAAGCAAAGAGATTTTTGACGAGACCAAAATCATATCTATAAAAAAATAAATAACAGATTTCATCAAAATTAAAAATGTTTGCTCTGTGAAAGACACTGTTAAGAGAATGAAGAAGACAAACCACCGATTGGCAGGAAATATTCACAAAATACATTCCTATCAAAGGAGTGGTGTTCAGAATATAAAGAACCCTCTAAACTCAACAAGAAGAAAACAAACAATTCAAGTAAAAAAATGGGCAATACAGACACTTCACCAAAGACTGTATGTAGTAGCAAAATAAGCATAGAAATAAGCATTTGAACAGATGTTCAACATCATTAGTCATTAGGGAAATGCAAATTAAAGCCACAATGACGTATCACTCCACACCTATCAGAATGGCTAAAATAAAAAATCCTGACAATACCAAGTTCGGACAAGGATGTGGAGAAGTTGGATTACTCATACATTGCTGGTGGGTGAGTGGTGCAGTCACTCTGAAAAACAGTTCAGCAGTTTCACATAAAGTTAAACATTCACTTTACAACTCAGCAATCACACTCCTGAGTGCTTATGCTAGATAAATGTAAACTAATGTTCACTTATAGTGAACTTACATAAAACTTATAGTGGTTACTACTTGAGAAACAGAAGAAGGAACAGGGGTCGTTCTTTTAGTTCTATGTGTAATGTTTGAGAGAAAGAATGAGAGAGAGGGAGGTCGGGGGGGGGGTCTGTGGAAAACACAGCAAAATTAAATTCTCATTGCTAGGGGGCAAAGGCATCTGCGAGATAATTTTCTGTACTTTTCTATGAGAGATGTATTTAATAAATTTTAAAAGCTAAATTTTTTAAATGGATAGCACAAACCACAGTTTTTATTAGCTCGACCACTTTATAGAATGGAGAATGGAAATCTGATTACTTACAACTTTGGTATTCCCAATAGGCTATATAAATGCCAATAAAAATTCCACTGGAAAAATATTTTAATTTGTTTATGAATTAGAGGGTGTTCAACCTGAAATAAACAACTCAGAGTACCCCCTCCCAGTCTGTAATGTGCGTGTTTTCAATACACAAAAAGAGAAAGTTAAAAAAAATCAAATCAATTGGGTTAGTAATGATAGAGATGCCCATTAGATGTCATCATATGTTAGAACCAATAAATGAATTCAGTAAAGTTGCAGGATACAAACTCAAGACACAAAAATTAGTTGCATTTCTATATACTATTAACAAATTATTAAAATAAAAAAATTAAGAAAAAAATCCCCTTTACAATTACATCAAAAAGAATAGAATAAAATACTTAGGAATAAATCTGACCAAGGAGGTGAAAGACCCGTACACTGAAAACTACAAGATATTAAGGAAAGGAATTGAAGAAGGCACAAACAAATGGAAATTCACTCCATGCTGATGGATGGAAGAATTGCTATTGTTAAATGTCCATACTAGCCAAAGCAATCTACTGATTCAATGCAATCCCCATCAAAATTCCAATGACTTTTTTCACAGAAATAGAACAAACAATCTTAAAATTTGTGTAGAACCACAAAAGACCCTGAATAGCCAGAGATAAATCCACACATATATGGTCAATTAATTCATGACAAAGGAGCCAAGAATATACAATGGGGAAGGACAGTCTCTGATAAATACTGTTGGGAACTGGACAGCCGCATGCAAAGAATGAAAGTAGACCTCTATCTTACACTATACACAGAAATCTACTCAAAATGAATTAAAGGCTAATGTAAGACCTGAACCAATAAAACTTCTAGAAGAAAACATAGGGGGCAAGCTTCTTGACATTGATCTTAGCAATGATTGTTTGGATTAGACATCAAAAGCAAAGGCAACAAAAGCAAAAATAAACAAGTGGGACTACATCAAACTAAAAAGCTTCTGCATAGCAAAGAAAACCACTAAGAAAATGAAAAGACAACCCATGGAATGAGAAAAATATTTGCAAATCTTATATCTGTTAAGGGGTTAATATCTAAAATATATAAAAAATTCATAAAACTCAATAGAAAAAAAATCCCTTTGAAAAATGGAGGATCTGAATAGACATTTTTCCAAAGAAGACATACAAAAGGCCAAGAGGTACATGAAAAGGTATTTTGAAAAGATATCTGAACTCCCATGTTCATTGCAGAATTATTTACAACAGCCAAGACATGGAGACAACCTAAGCGTCTATCTACAGATGAAGGGATAAAGAAAATCTGATATATATACATACATATATATATATATATATATATACATACATACATACACACACACACAATTTAATATTGTTGTCATAAAACAAAGGAAATCCTGCCATTTTTAACAACATGGATGGAACTCGAGGGAATTATGCTAAATGAAATGTCAGACAGAAAAAGATAAATACCATATGATCTCACTTATATATGAAATCTAAAAAGGAAAAAAACCAAGCATAAATACAGAGACCAGATTAGTGATTGCCAGAGGCAGGATTTAGAGGTGGTGCTTGAATGGGTGAAGGTGGTCAAAGTGTACAAACTTCCAGTTATAAGATAAATAAGTCCTGGGGATGTGATGTATACCATGGTGACTATAGTTGTAAAATTATATATATAAATATATGTAAGATTTCACTATATGAACTCTCATGTCTCTCAAAGTTTGTTTTGCTTCTTTTTCTAATAGTTTGAAAAGTTGGATAAGAAATTTGAAATAGTGTGCATATCTGATTGGAGTAGCTTTGATTGGACTGAAATACGTAAGATTAAAATAGAATAATGCCTACATTTGAACGGGTGGTCAGCATCAGAGGACAGCTGTTATCACGGATGCAGGAGGGAGGGAGACGGAGAAGATCCAGGAACCTCGGTAGTGATTCTGTGGCTTCGTATCGTATGTGAGTTTGGGGATTTCTATAAAGGAACCAAAGAAAGTCTGGGGATTTACCATAGAATAACTTAATTACTCTCATTTAGGTTTCTTTATGAGGTGGTCAAACAAAATAAAAACTGTTTGGAATTTGATGATTTGACATAAATCCTTTCACTAAATGAATTTTCAGAATAAAATGGAAAAGAATCTTCATTCCTTCAGTGTCCAGGGAGGGAAATATTTTTATTCTGGAAAACATTTGTACTGTTAATAGGTTTTACTATTTCCACTGATAAAACCACATTTCGGGAGAGGTTTTGTCTTCATGATAACTGTAATAAGAATTGTAGAACGGCACCAAGCAATATACGTGCACTCATGGCAACAACATGGCCAAATATTTGAATTTTGAGAACCTATGGTTTTTCCCTTCCTAGAACTTCTAATAAGTTAACCACAGAGTTACAACACAAATGAATATGATTTTACAGCTATTACAATTTGGTATTCTAGTACACATCTGGAGAGATTATGGAATTCAGAAGACTATTTTGTTATCATTTGTCTGAGCGATGTTTGCTGTCATGAAGATGCCAGTAGCCATGGTTGGATGGGTGAAGAGGAAGGAAGGGAGATGATGACTTCTGGTTTGCCTCTTGTAGGGAAGACAAGGATTGGTGAGCGTATTTCACCTTAGAATTGGGTCAGAGGAAAACAATCAAAACATGAATTAATATTTGCAATCATGCCATGATTCACAATAAATTTTACTCAGATAAGCCCCTCAGATTTTATCACAGATTAACTTACTAAACTTGGAAATTTTAAGTAATAAATCTCTTTCCAATATTTCCTTCAATATTAAGCTTTAGGCTCATCCTTTACCAGATATAATCATCATTAAATCACAAGAAAAGATGAAACATTTAGGACAGGCCAAATCTCCCAACCTAGGTGATATAAACATTCAAACTTGACCTAGTCAGGAAATGCATTTAGAGGCAACTGCTACATGCAGCTGAGGGGCCTTGCACTCGTACTGTCAGGAAGACAGAGCAGGGCCATTTCAACAAGAGGGAAATCCTGCCATCACCCTGCCCCCCAGGCTGCTGTGGGCATTTCTGGTCTCCTCTTCTTAGTTACAAACAATTGCAAACCAGGGCATCGGCTGCCTGTCAGCACTCAGAGGGGAAATGG